CTCTTGTTCACATTTTATTGCTTTCTCCTCTTTCGCTCCCCCTCTTTTCTCTATCTGGTCTCATTTTGCGTTTCAACGCCTTTCGCGTGTATTCTGGCCTCCCCCTCTCCCCCCCCTCCCCTCCCCCCCCACCCCGATTTCTTGTAATATCCGTTTTGCTGTCCCTGACGCGCTTTGAGCTGAGCTGAGCTGAGTGAATGAGCCGAGGTTGCGTAGAAAGAGTCCAATTAGCGAAAGAACGAATCCGATGACGTCTTACAGAAAGAAATCTCGTCGGTAAATTTTCCCTGTTTACCACACGGATCTTGATGTTGTTGTTTACTCTCCTCTGTGTCTGTGTCTTTCTGTCTCTCTATCTCTGTGTCTGTCTTTCTGTCTCTCTATCTCTCGGTCGCTCTTTCTCTCGCTCTCGCTGTGACGTTTGATTTGACGATTATATTGATCAGTAGGTCAGATTATTGAGCATGTGGCTGGAATCAATTGAAGGGTAGATGGATGGGAGTGGCTGAATTGTTTGATAGATGGAGGTTAATCGATGTTAGATCGGCTAGTGAAGTCGTCGACCTATCAAATTCGTTGAATGATAGGCTGATCAGTTTGTCGGTGCTTCATCCGTATGCCGGTGTGGAATTACAGTAAGTGGAAGAAGATTTTCTTCCCCCTCTTCTCTCCCCGGGTCTCTCCCCCCCCCTCTTTGTCCCCTCCTCTCAGCCTCCCTTCTCTCCAGGCCCTGTCTCTTATACACATCTAGATGTGTATAAGAGACAGGTATGGGATCACTTGTTTCTTTCTATTCCATGTTGCCCTCCTTTCCTTCTTGATTTCAAGCTCGTCTCAAATCCTTCGGCTCTTTCACCCCGACTTCATCTCCTTGTTTGTTGCACTCATGGACTTTTTGTGCATTTTCAAGGCCTCTGCCCCTCTACCCTACCTCTTCTCCCTTCCGTCCATTCCACCTTGCCCCCCCCAGCTCTAGTTGATTTTCCTTCTTGCCTGCCCAGTTCACTCTCTGACCCGCTTGGTCCCATCACCTCCTTGCTCACTCTGCTGCGCTCACTTCCTTTCATCCTTTGATCATTTTTTTAGTGCACCCTTCCTTTCGTCCTTTGATCATTTTTTTAGTGTACCCCTACACCAACATACTTTCATTGTTGTAAAAATGAAGGCGTTACTCTTGTGTGTGCATGAGAGTATGCAGGAGTTGAAGAAGGAATGCAAAACATGGTGGCTCACTTGGGTAAAGCGTTGGCACCGTAAGTCGCAGGTTGTGGGTTCGATTCTGTCTAAAACCCTCACCCTCCTCTGAACGCGCTTTGTTGGTGTTAGGTTGTCACCCCACGTAATTGCCCCCCCCCCCCCCCCCCCCTTCTAGCGGCAAACTGCCGAGATCACCGTATCCAGACTCTTCACCGGACCATTCAATCGGGGTAGGCAGGACGGGCAGTGTTGCATCTTCTACTATGTTGCCTATCTATACCTTTTTTCTGTTTCGTGGATTTCTTTGTGATCATTTGTGGATGGAGAGAGAGAGAGAGAGAGAGAGAGAGAGAGAGAAGAGAGAGTTTTGGGATTTTTTGAAAAACACACGCAGAGAAAGAAGAGGAAAGAGGAAAAATGGAAGAGGATATGTGCTACGTGCGGCCCACGAGAATTGACGGAAGATGTGCTGGAACGTGAAGGTGGGAAGATGGACAAGTGAGCGATGCATTAGCCTTCTGGCTCTTCTCTGAATGTCCCCCTTTTTTGTGTGAGTTGTTCCTTCTCACCATGCTTTTTGTTCCCTTTGCTTTCTGTTTTATTTGTGGGAAATGAGATTCACTAATTGGCAGTTATGACATAGCAGTTGCAAGATGGACTGATAAAAAAAAAAAGTTTCTATTTTTTAAATCTGTTTTATGGGTGGTCTTCTTCTTCGCCTGTCTTGCGTTTTTTTAATTTTCAATCGCCGCTACTCAGCCGTAGACATATGTTTCGTCACTTTCGTGTTGCGCTGCAGGTGATTCAAAAATTCAAGAAAACGTACGACAAGTTGTGGCCTGCTGGCCCAGGAGCTGAAGACCAGACCCAGACGGTTTCTTGTTATATGTGCCGGTGAGTCGTTGCATCAGAGGGTTTTGCTCCAGGACCACCTGCTCCCACCCTTTGCCCTGTCTTTAGGGATTGATTTGCAAGTCGGGAAGCTTGCTTACTTTACTCGCACCAATTGATCAATTCCTATTTTGATTCTTGTTTTTTAAATGTATGTCTTGAAAAAATAGACAAAAAAAAAAAAAAAAATGTTAATCTTGGAGACGTAAATATGTTAATCTATTTTGGGCCGCCTGTTACCTACTCGCACCTTCTCACCATATCTAGCTAAGCCCAGCATTTCCTCTGCCTCCTATACCCATGTCCGTGTTCAGCAATCTGTTTTTCTTTTTTTCTTTTTTTCTTTTTTTTTCTTTTTTGTCATTCCGCCTTGTCATGTGTGAGGCTGTCAACACGTTCGTGAATTTTGTGCCGATCGTGTTGAGCAATTTATTTATTTTTATTTTTTATTCTTCTGCGGTTCGCCTTGTTATGTGTTAGAGGCTGTAATCACATTTGTTGCATGCTAGAATGTTTTGACGTTATCGAATGTTGTGTGATTTGTGGGTCCTCAAGTGTAATTTTATGGTCGTTGATTGTGAATTGTTGCTCGCACTTTAATGGGATGTCGGTGTAAGTTCGCATCCGGTTTTCCCCCTGGCGTCACGACTTGGAAAACCGACGGACTGGAGCCAGTACTAAGACGTGGGGTGGACACCCACTGGCGTAGCTCAGTTGGTACACCGATGAATTGCTGAAATGCAAACACGAGTTCGAATCCTGACAGAACCAGATGGATTAAAATTTAAAATTCTTGAATTACCAGGGGTCGGTCAGTTCCATGATGATGATATTTCAAGGCCTTTGCCATTACAACAAGAAGAAAAGAAAAGATGAGCGGTGAGTTGGTGACAGGTGTTGGAGATCGCACTCGAACGGACTTGGGTAATCATTCGTTCGTTCTTTGTTGCCTTGTTTGACTGATTGAGCAGGTACTTCAGGGAGTGTGGGAAGCGAGCGTGCAATGGCAATTGCTGCCGCTATTGCTTGAAGTCTCCCATAGCTCAGGGGAGTGGGCGACTTTCGCTGAGCGAAGCAGATGTCTTCTTCAGGGAAGCAGAAGCTAAGCTGCTGAATGACACCTCCGACACTGCTCTGCCTGAAACAGGTGACTCTGGCAAGGTAAGCATAGAAGAGTGACAGATGTCAAGTTTTTAAGCAGAAGCCAGAGTAAGGAACGATAGTCAGGAGATCTCGGTGTCAGCGGTGCCAAGAGTGAGACTATCATATCGGCGGTGCCTGACGCTGGCAGGGTTAGGCCAACAAGAGTGTTGAGTTGGTATTGCTCCCTCAGCCAGCACAGCCGACTTCGAGTCTGCTTTGCCTGTCCGTCTGACCTGAGGTCCAACAGATAACTGTGGTGTGCTTGAGTTTATTAGCAGCAGCCGAAAAGTGGAAGCAGGAGGCAGAGGACTAGGGTGCTGCAAATGTTTATATTGTTAATTTCTTGCTTGTGGGCCTCGAATAATGCCAGACGGTTAGGAAGGGGGGGGGGG